GAAATATTCATTGGTTCGACATGTTTCTTACTATTAATTGATTTGCAACTGGGAATTTAAAATTAGAGTTTACGATCTTCTATTTAAAGCAAATACAGCTGGTATCCTTGACCGTTTCCTAATCCAGGTTGAGTGTTGGTAGCATTACTTTGAACCAGAAACAGAGACAAAGGCATGCAATGTAAATACCCCTGCTCATCTGCTCCAAAGGAGACCAACGTCGTTTCATCGTTTCCCTAATATTGGTCGAGCAATGTTATCCCCATATGAATTTGAAATTTGGCACTAGGTCTGGAAATTAATTTTCAAAGATATAACAATGAATGACTAATATAGTAAAATCCTATCACTTAAATAGAGAGAATATTGTTGGTGACCTGTTCAGATAAATAAGAAGCTTTAAAAGAAGCTATATGAATCTGTCAGATCGTTCTCATCTGAAAACTTATGACCACACCTCTCCACATATTTTGTTCATTAGTAGCTCTACCTTATCCTCCAATTATGGTTCCATTGTCATCGATAAATTCCGAAAATAATGATTCTTCAATTTTACCAGTTGCTCTTTTTCCCATATTTGGGATTACATACTATAAACTAATGTATAAGTTCATGTTTGCGTATACAACAATGGCAACTAAACCGTACATGTCTTTCACGGATTGTGTAAGTAATATATGAATAAAGTTCCTATAGATTTCATTGGACATTTGCTGTTTGCAAATGAAACTTTACTCTGCTCTCGACAATTTAGTGTATCTATTATCTAGTCAATAATTCTGTTAATTTCCATCTGCTACACTCGTATACAGGGACTATTTGTAATGCTTACTTAAAGGGTTTCATTTATATATGTGTATATTTTTCACTACCTTACGGTACTTATTTATGATAGCGACATCCTTGGCATTGCAATGCTAAAAGCTATTACTTTTAAGAGAATGACTCCTTTTAAAACCATGATAGCAAATATAAAAAAAACGGTGATTTGGATTTTCACATTTGAATATTGTAAGGTTTCGTTTTGATTAAAAAAAACAGGGATACTGTATTATATTTTTATTTGTATAAAGTCCAATTTATGCCGACGTTATAACGTAAATAGTCATACTCGATGAAGAGCGTTGGATAGAAATCGTAGAATAATTGGAATCTCTGTACCGGCGATGGTGACTTCATGGTGTCGTGTAACTCTTGCTTTCTTTCGGATAAACAAAATACATGTCTCAATAAACGTCAAGAGGAACGACGAAGGGTAAGAACTTTTATTGAACAAAGAAGACAATCTAATCAAGAAACTGAAAGGATAAGCAATTTTCAATTGAAAATAGATACACATATTTTACAAAAACAACGCTGGTATTTGTTAGCTTCTCAAAAAGTAGGCAAGCTCATCCCTGCTCCTACTCGACCACAAACAATACCAGTAATATTATTCTCTGTCCTTAGAAATTTAATAGAAAATTACTGAAACATTGTCTTAATAAGTAGAAGGCGCTAAGCGAATACTAAAAAACTACCAATAGAAATAATACTAGAAATCTATTTTACTGAATTAATATTGAGAATCAATTGAGAATTAAGTGGTATGTGTTATAAGAGATTTGGCTAAAAAGTTCGTAGCCTGACTACGAAGGACTGATGCTATATTAGTGAAATCTTGCATGCATTAATTTCAACTCATCTTATTAATAACTTCATTGCTTATTTACAGATAAATTAATAGCTGACTTTTCAAAGATTTCAAATGTAACAAGTAACCACTTTTCGTAAACATAGACGAAATGTGGCATCGTAGTGTTATCAATACCTGTAGAAAAAGGGTTTAGCACAAAAGATATTCATGCTCACATGGTTGCTGCATTAGAGGATGATGCTCCAGTATTCTCAATAGGGTAGTTGAATTTAAGTGGAGCAGTGAGAGTCTTGAACTTGACTCAAGGTCTACACGACCTGCAACTGTCACCACTGAGGAAAACTTTGACCGTGTTCACTACATGGTTATAGATGAGAGGCGATTGACTATGAATCAAATAGCCAATGCTATTAACACATCCCATGATAGGGTTGAGAGCTTTCTACACAATGAACTTGGCATAACGAAGGTTTCTAATCCTAGGGTTCCACGTCTTCGGATAACTAAACAAAAGCGCAGCGGACTGGTCAAGTTACGGGAAAGACGGATATTGAGGCAGATCCAATTGTTTCTCTTGAACGTTTCCTAAACCAAGATGTGTATTTGGTTCATCACTTTTAGCCAGATATAAAGAGACAATCCAAACATCTCACCTCTCTCAAGTTCGTTTCATCTGCAAGGAAAGTGCTGGTCTCAGTCTTCTTAGGATGCAAAAAGGCAATGTGTATATTGACTATCATTAAAAGTGACACGAGATCAATGTAGAATACTTTGCCAAACAGCCAAGGCAGTTATGAAAGTTTATCAAGAATGATGTCAAGAATATCACGTAAGCAACGAGGAAGTTTTAAGGAAAATAGAATTAAAATAATTAGAATCAGAAATAATCAGGTGGAATTTCGAGAACACATAAATCAGAGTTGGAGAATTTGACACTCGCAGGTCGTGTTGAGTTTACTCAATTACACATCAGATGGCATCCCGTTCGAAAGGATGCAAATAAAGGCCGACACGAAGATAAAGGAACAGCTGATCTGGAAGGTATTTTCACAGATGACACTGCCACGTTGCACATACAGAAATAACCCTGCCGATTTTCCAATCAATCCGAGGACTCTCACTACAACTAAAATCCCATGTGCCAAATTCTTTGTATTTCCAATCAAAATCCTTGTAGTTTGATAGTCATGGCAAAATCTTAAAAGATACTTTACAATCTGCAGAAACACACATGTTAATAAGAAAGCACATTCTGTTGTTGTGGTCCTTGAACACGATGTTTGGGAGATTAGATTCGATTGATCCGTCTGTGTATCCTGTGAAGAGGCATAAAATTGTTCTAGGTCCTATATCTGTAGCTGAGTCTGGTGGAAGTTCTTACTAGTTACTTGCAATTTCCTTATCTTATTATTTCCAGTGCAGATATTGGCCCATTATTTCATGCAGAGTTTTATATTCAGTAGGTGCTAACATCGTGTAACAGATACAAGATGGTCAATTGTTTCCGGTTATCTATCACAGAATCTGAATTTCGGGTTAACACACGTTTTCAGTATGTGTGATTCGTAATTTATATTTATTATGCATTTTTCATGTGCAGCAAGAATAAAACCATCGGTTTCAGCTTTTAAACCTGCACTACGTAACAACTGATAGGTACGGTATATACCTACATAAGTTTGTTGGATACAGGCAGAGTATCGACCATTAAGAGGCTTGTCATGCTATCGTTTATGCATTTGGTATATTGCATTTGCTTTAATTTCTTTTTTGGTATTTTTTTTGCCGCTGCAATAAATGTATTATGGTTTACTTGCATGTCTTCACCCACATGAAATTCCTTTTGAATATGTTGGCTTCTTGTATTACTAAATAAAGTTTATTTCTTCATTCATGTATTTTGACACAGATCATCATCCAGTCTTCCATAGTTGCCGGATATCTTTGAAAACCTATTGCTGTAGTTATGTAAGAGAGTTCTAGTTGAACTAAGTCTCTTCCAACTTCGGAGCTGGGCATCCACAAACGATCAACATCAGCCCAGGATTATGCATGCGGTGGCAACTGAGAAGATTTCTCGTTTTGACATCCATTCGCTTACTGCCAGTTAGGGTTCAATTTACGATAGTGAAACTGTATTGCACCACAGGGACAGCCAACTTATTCTAGTTTTGGAGATTCAACTAAGTATTTAACACCAGATGCACACGGCTGTAGTATTATTTCCTTACTTTCTCCTTAATTTGGCTAAGCTATATCCCATCTCCTTCGCTAACTCATTTATATATATATATATGGGCTTCTTCATGTTTTAGTTTCATAATCTTAGTGACATTATTATTATTATTATTATTATTCGTGATCGTGGTGCTGTCCGTCCTCGTAATGACGATGGTGGTGGTGATCCTGCTGCTATTAAGTTGAGTGATCGTCCTTAAAACTATAATTATTAAAGGTGCTAAAAAGCTTGCCATTGGTTGACCATAAGACCGTTACCATTCAGTATTTTCATTTGTTTTTTGTAGGTTTAGCTACTGTGTTTTCTATACAAAGTTTATCCTTCAATTACTTAGTTTCCCTAAATCCCACTTAAATAAAAACTCATAACAATATAAATACAATAATGGTTTGTACGTAAACAAAAGACTTGAAATTTGAAAAGAAATTTTGCAAAAAAATGTAGTGAAAAAACAAATTATCAAACATTAAGTGGATTTCAACCAATGATAACATTGCCAAAGCATTTATGTAGGCAGGTGCTGCTTTGTATAATGTAATAACATATGTTGCGGATTTCAAAATGGCATTAACTTATACATTTGGCCCAAATTTATAATATTAAAAAAAATGTATAGTTTTTCGTATTAACACTTGAATTTTTTATCTGATGATTATTTCTTGATATTTGATATTTTAATGATAAAAGAAATTGACCTTAGAAATTTTTTCCTTTGTCAAAAAAAGGAATACTATTAAAAAATGGTGGGTATTGTTTAAGGGAGTGATCTTTCTTTGAACTAGATTTATTAAATTCGGTATAGGGGTTTCCATATCAATCTGCTTCTATTGACAGTGCTTCAGTTTTGGGGGTTTTTTTTAGGGAATTTTTTCATTAATTTGTTTTTTTACGTCTTATCAAACTTTGGCATGCTATATGAAGCCAGAAAATACTTTACATTTTAAGAAAGTTTTGGTGATAGTAAATAAGTTAGTAACATGCCACACTAATTCTCCCATAGCTGGGGGGAAGTGGTGGATACATAACCTTCACAATGATATTTGCGCTTTGAATATAACGAATCCAAATTTAACTGGAGCTCGGCTCTCCGATTTCCAACTCATAGCCGTTATCCACACGTCCAAGCTTACATCACCTGGTATTTCCAAGAGTTCACCCATCTAGGTACTGACCCCGCTCGATGTTGCTTTACTTCGGTGATCGCACGGGGACCGCTGTTTCAACGTGATATGGCCGCAATTTGGAATCTTTGAAGAGAATAGGAACTTCGAAGTTATTAATGTTTACAATACGAAAGAATCAGCTGAAATACCTGGGATAGATAATGAAGAGATTGATCCTAGAGAATTTAATCCCCACGTGACATTTTGAAAGCACGAGAAGCTGGGGGTAGGACGGACAACGAGTAACCTCGCCGTAATGGATAAACTGACGTAGAGAAAGGGGAGGGAATTACAGCTGAAAATTCAGAGACTAGTGAAGAGCTATACGAGTATGGTTGTAAGCACTGTCATTAGTAGAAAATTCAGAGCACATATATGACTGTTAGCTAACATCGTTTAGCAAGCAACGTTTGGCGAGCAACGATTGGCGAGCGACTGGGCTCAAAGAGACTCGATTAAAGATTGTCGTTATTTTTATTAAATGCATTCAGTAAAAATAAACTTGATTTTTTTTTAATTCATTAACAATGTTGTCTTTATATGTTTCAAGTCTTTCATTATCTTTTCATTTTTATAGCTTACATAATCTTTCCATTTTATGACTGTTGTCTTTTCTGTTTTATTGCGTTGTTCAATAATTGTTCTCTCATAGATTTTCATTTAATTATCTGAAACAAAGAACGCCAAGATTGTATCTCAATTTAAATGACATAATCTCGCTATACAAATTGCTCAATCTTATCCTCCACCCATACCAACATATTTGCGGAATTGTTATATTTTCAAATTCATGTTAGGGGGAACAACCTTACATAAATCAGTGTAGATGTTGCAAAACACAGCAGGTCGCTAAAACCACGCGTCGACTGGAGGGAAATCAAACTTGCAGAAAATCTCTCTTTGGTGATTATATTCTCGTTTTAAAAATTACGTCTACCGTATAGTTATTTTCCAAGCGTAGCTTAGATGTGGCAAAAGGCCGAAAGTATGGGGTACCCAGTGAGGATCAAACTCACTAATCAGTCGTAATTGTTCTAGCGAGACAAGCTTACTAACCGCCTCGAGGTGCCCTGATTTTCCAAGCGTAACTTACATATGGCACAAGGCCGAAAGTATGGGATACCCAGTGATGATCGAACTCACTACTCAGTCATAATTGTTCTAGCGAGAGAAGCTTGCTAACCATTACAATGTCTCGAGATACCCTGATTTTCCAAGCGTAGCTTGGATGTGGTACAAGGCCGAAAGTATAGGGTACCCAGTGAGAATAGAACTCACTACTCAGTCGTAATTGTTCTAACGAGACAAGCTTGCTAAACATTACACTGTCTCGAGGTACCCTGATTTTGTGGTACAAGGCAGAAATTATGGGGTACCCAGTGAGGATCGAACTCACTACTGCGTCGTAATATTTCTAGCGAGACAAGCTTGCTAACCATTACACCGCCTCGAGGTGCTCATTATGCCTATCGTATATACACGAGTATAGTCCGACATTTTATGAACAGTTATATTACACAAAATATAGGGGTTCGCTCTATACACACGTAATTTTAATCATGCATTACTCGTGAACGCTTGCTCTATGCGCAGGTAATTTTCTTTTCTGCTGAGGTTAAATTTCGTGCAAAAACATTCAGGGGTCGCAGTATACGGGAAACCGTCTTACGCGTTAATATATACAGTATTCCCTCACTGGGTGCCCCCTAATTTCGGCCTTGTGCCACATCTAAGCTACGCTTGGAAAATCACTATTCGGTATTCTTATTACTTTAAACATTATGGTTTATATGTATTTGAGCGGAAACCTAGTTTTTTCGAGATTTCCTATCATTTCACCTCAGCCAACACGGTAGTACCACTAGAACGCAGTTACAGGGAATGAAAAAGAAGGCGATTGGAGGAGAAGTGAGGAAAAGAACAATAAATAAAAGGGAACAGGAAGATTGAAGATGTTGACTGACTTTGCATTTAAATTTTTAAAGATTGTAGATGGCGGCAAAGCGAGAAATCGGAAGGGAATTCCACAGACGACCAAAAGTGCGAAAAAATAAACTATTAAAATAGAAATGGATGTTGCCCCTAGCTAGTTAGACAGTAAAACGGTGTGACCTAGTTCCCAGTATAGCAGCATGGTTATCCGTACATTAGTGGCACTAGGAAAACAGTTGTTTTTTTTCCCTTCTTTTAATAATGGGAATCAAATTTGTCTATTAATACATACGATAATGTTAATAAAGAAAACTTTCTTCCATTTTGGAAGGGAAAAAACACTATTTGAATCGATGTGGTTTAGACTACTACTCAGTCACAGAGAGCTTCACAGACCAGCAAGATTGATTTAACATTTTAAGATCTTCTTGAAAGCGCATAAGTGAGAATATTATATCCTACCGAACCGTAAACAAAGTAATCTCCAAGACAGAAATGAATTAACTCGTTGCACAATACCAGAGGTGCATCGCAGGCAGATGGGATGCATTTGTTCTACATCAGTAGAAGTCACAGACGCATTTGTCCTACATCAGTAGAAGTCACAGTTGCATTTGTTCTACATCAGTAGAAGTCACAGTTGCATTTGTTTTACATCAGTAGAAGTCACAGACGCATTTGTCCTACATCAGTAGAAGTCACAGTTGCATTTGTTCTGCATCAGTAGAAGTCACAGACGCGTTTGTCCTACATTAGTAGAAGTAGAAGTCCTCACAGTTGCATTTGTTCTGCATCAGTAGAAGTCACAGACGCATTTGTCCTACATTAGTAGAAGTCACAGTTGCATTTGTTCTACATCAGTAGAAGTCACAGACGCATTTGTCCTACATCAGTAGAAGTCACAGACATTTGTCCTACATTTGTCCTACATCAGTAGAAGTCACAGTTGCATTTGTTCTACATACATCAGTAGAAGTCAAAGAGTCAAAGACGCATTTGTCCTATTTGTCCTCCATCAGTAGAAGTCACAGACGCATTTGTCCTACATTAGTAGAAGTCACAGACGCATTTGTCCTACATCATCATTTGTTCTCCATCAGTAGAAGTCACAGACGCATTTGTCCTACATCAGTAGAAATCACAGACGCATTTGTCCTCCATCAGTAGAAGTCAAGACGCATTTGCACATTTGTGTTCTACATCAGTAGAAGTCACAGACGCATTTTTCACAGACGCATTTGTCCTACATTAGTAGAAGTCACAGACGCACATCAGTAGAAGTCACAGACGCATTTGTCCTACATCAGTAGAAGTCACAGACGCATTTGTCCTCCATCAGTAGAAGTCACAGACGCATTTGTCCTACATTAGTAGAAGTCACAGACGCATTTGTTCTACATCAGTAGAAGTCAAAGACGCATTTGTTCTACATCAGTAGAAGTCACAGACGCATTTGTCCTCCATCAGTAGAAGTCACAGACGCATTTGTCCTACATCAGTAGAAGTCACAGACGCATTTGTCCTACATCAGTAGAAGTCACAGTTGCATTTGTCCTACATCAGTAGAAGTCACAGACGCATTTGTCCTACATCAGTAGAAGTCACAGACGCATTTGTCCTACATCAATAGAAGTCAGACATTTGTCCTCCAGACGACATTTGTCCTACATCAGTAGACGCAGTCACATCAGTTGCATTTGTTTCATCATCAGTAGAAGTCACAGACGCATTTGTCCATCTAGAAGTCATCATTTGTAGAAGTCACAGACGCATTTGTCCTACATCAGTAGAAGTCACAGACGCATTTGTCCTACATCAGTAGAAGTCACAGACGCATTTGTCCTACATCAGTAGAAGTCACAGTTGCATTTGTCCTACATCAGTAGAAGTCACAGACGCATTTGTTCTACATCAGTAGAAATAAATGAGTTGCATGGAAATCGCTGTTAATTTCTTACTTAGCCTATATATATTGCTTTATATTTAACATATGCACATCAAATAGGGAATTACGGACACACTACATTAAATCACCGGTTTTCGTTTGATCACCGAAGTTAATCAACATCGATCCTGCTCAGTATCTAGATGGGTGCCCATTTGAGAATACTAAGTGTTGTAACCTTGGATGTGCGGGTAATGTAACGGATGAAGGGCTGGAAATTGTTAATATAATTAACTCAATTCGAAACTGGAACTCGGCGTTCTAATTCCATTTTGCCTTGTTACATTAACTTACGCGCCAATACCCTTGGAAATGGTATGATTCCATCTCCCCCCCAGCTAAGGGTTATTTCGTAGGTCTTTTATCACTAAACCATTAGTATCTTAAAGAAAATCATACAATCTAAACATAATTCCTGGCGTTAAATAACCTACGAAGGTTTGATAATTCTTAAAAAAAATATCAACCAACCAAATGGCTATGTAAGAGAAATCCCCGTTTCGTTGAAGACATAGCGACTTGCAAGCATGGCTACAATCGAGGGCAACTCGTATCTTTCTGTATTTGCTGGTAAACTCACCTATTCCGTTTCATTTCTTCAATGGCGATTTCGAAATATCACAAACGGCAGTTCCCTGATGAAGTGACATAAACGTAGTTGACCGCAACCTGAACGGTAAAAACCCTCCGTCGGTTTAAATGACGATTTTGCATGTGGCCTGCTGCATCTCCTCCAAGAATTTTTTTTCTCCCTCTGACAAGATAGCTGTGGATTAATTAGTAAGACTTGTATCACTAAAGACAACATTATCTCCAAAAATAAATAAATAAAATTTCGTTTATCATTTTTAGATTTCGACATTAAATAACCCATAGAGGTTAATATGCCGCTAAATAAAAAAAAAGCCCATAAAGGTTAATAAGCCGTTAAACAAAAACTCATTTGACAGACAGTAAATATTTTCATGAAAAAGAAATGAGAATGAATTATGAGGGTACCGGGGAACAAAACACGAATGCCTGTGGTTGTTTGACAGGTCGATTATGGACCCGTGATATTGCACTCAACGGAAAAGTTGAGGATTGATATGATATATAAGGAGGCAAAATATTCTCATTTAAATCGCTGCCCTTGTTTGAGGAAATAAGATTAAAGAGTAAGTTTTTGGAATTTCATTCTGGTTATCAGTGAAATTTTT